GGGGGGGGGAAAGGGGAGGAGGGACTACAACTCCCATCATCCAGGCCCGGGAGGAGACGGGTAGGCTTTAGTGGTGGCGATGACTTGTTGCTAATAAGGATCTCCTGGGGGATGAGGGGAGGGGGGGGGCGGGGGGGGGTCCAGAGATGCCAAATCCAGCAGAAAATCTCTGCCTGATTGTGAGAACCGACGTAAATCTCGGGGCGGGAAGGATCCTTGGAGGTCGTCTAGTCCAGCCCCCCTGCCCCAGAACAGTCCACCCACCCACCTCCCTCCACTACCACTCAATGTCATTCCCAAGTCTCGGATACATACTGAGAATACGGTATCAGTGCGGTCAGAATGGGCTGGCAGGGACCTTGGAGGTCTTCTAGTCGAGCCTCCCTCCCTCCCCTCCAAGGCACACCCATCAACCCCACTAAATTTCTCCCTATCTCTCAGATTCATATTCAATCATGCAATCGGAAATAGGATCAACAGGGCTGGAAGGGACCTTGGAGGTCCTCTAGTCCAGCCCCCAGGCTCCAAGGCACCAGCCCCACTAAATGTCACCCTAACGGCCAGATCCGTACTGAGATACAATATCAGCGCAATCAGAATTAGAAGTAGGATCGTAGGGCTGGAAGAGACCTTGGAGGTCATCTAGTCCACCCCCCTTGCCCAAGGCAGGAGTCCTTATACCATCCAGGACAAATGGTGGTTCAATGTCTTCTAAAAACCTCCAGTGTTGGAGCACCCACAGCTTCAGGATGTGAGCTGTTTTCACCTGATTTATTGTTCTCACTGTCAAGGAAATTAATTCTTCCTTAGTTCCAGGTTGGGTCTCTCTTTGAAAAAACTTCCACCCGTTGCTTCTTGTCCTGCTTGCAAGATGCTTTGGAGAACAATAAAGGGCTGGGACAGCCATTCCAAATATTGATATATTAATATATTAAATATTTACATTACCTGACCTCCTGGCTGGTGCAGGCTGGTTGAAGGGGCGGGATGGGAATCCCATATCCATACAGGAAATAAACTTTTTATCCCTTCCGTTGTCAGAACTTCTGATCATTTTCCACTCTTTTAGGGAGTTCACTGTAATACCCCCTTTTCAGTTTGTCTTCTGAGATAGTTTGGGCTCACATGACAATTTTGGAGATGTCGGGGATTATAGTGGTACTAATCATGGCGAGATCCAGCATACCTTATTTTAATATGTTTATATATTTGTAAAAGTGATACGCTACCTATCTTGTGTAGAGGGGACTCAATCAATTAAAAAACAAGATTACAATATTTAAAATGATGCAAATATTATTGTAAACATTAATAATGCACATTAATATTAATAAATACAGTCTTTGAGAAGGAATCCCGAACAGATGACCTGAAGTAAAATGTGACAAAAATAGAACTTTGCCAGATGTTTGGGGGGCTTTTTTTTTTTAATGCTTTCAAATCCATGTTGCTTCCTGATCTGGATTAGTCACTGCAGTTTTGTTGACAAAGAAATATATGCATAACCACCTTGGCAGTGGATGAAGAAGTGGACCAAAGGTTGTTTCTAATATTATTTTATTCATTGGTCAGATTTGATGAAAAGGAGAACGTATCAAACTGTATCCAGTTGAAAACGTCGGTTATTAAAGGCATTAAAAACCAACTGATAGATCAGTTCCCGGGTATTGAACCATGGCTAAATCAAATTATGCCAAAGAAAGATCCTGTTAAGATAGTACGATGGTAAGTTCCTCTGCTTCCTCAAATTGCTTTTCTGTATTGTTACTTCTTAGATGTGAGAAATAGATTGCTAGATTGAAACTGTACTGGACAAAATGAAAAACAGATGCTGGAATATTTACACGATATTTTTTGAATTGGAGGCTACCAGGATATTCGTGTTTAATGGAAACATTAACCTTGGAGGGTTATTTTGTTCCTTATTTTATTTATTAAATTTTTTTATTCTGCCCGTTTCCTTTATAAGGCGACTATGGGTAGCTTACAGATTATCCAATGCCCCATTTGAAATATGTAAAGTTTTCTCTTTCATGATTATTTCTAAATGGTTATTAGAAACACTTTCTTAAAAAAAATAATCGTGTGTTAATTTTGTACATTTCAGTCATGAACATATAGAAATTCTCACAGTAAATGGTGAACTGCTGTTCTTCAGACAAAGGGAGGGGCCTTTTTATCCCACACTGAGGTTACTACATAAATGTAAGTATTTTGGCGGAAAAAGGGTTATTGGACTGGAGAGAAATCAAGATTGGCAACTTTTGAGACATAAGCATACTTGTTTTAAATTTGTTTGCTGAAATTAACAGGCGTTGAGTAGAAAAATAGAACTGGACAGCTTGTGTAATACAGAACGTGCATAATATGTTTGCATGTTCTCTGCAGTATTTTCATTCGTTCTCTGTAGTTTACTCCTTTCCATTGTGCAATCTGACATTTCCCCTATTCCAACCCGAATTGCCTGATTCTTTATGCTCTTCTCCTTATGACCTTTTTCCCTGTTATTTTCTGTCCATTCCGTTCTGAATTGGCATGCTTTCTCTTTCCTTTTCTTTCCTCTGTATTTTATTAACCTTTCCCCAGTTTTCCTTCCTCTCAAATGCAATGGTATGTGTGTGTATGTATGTACAAAACTTTCTGATTTAGCAGGATTCGCCCAGAGACGACTTGTTTGTGTGCTGCAGGTCTATTCTTCCTGTTTGCTTTTATTTGACTTTTATTCTGTTGCAAGCAGCTCATTCCTTGCATTTGGCACACACACAGGCTATCTATCTCTATCTCATCTCTATCTACCTATCTCATCTACGCACCTACCTATCTTAATCTATCTCATCTATCTCTATCCTGTTTCCCTAAAAATACAACCTACCCTGAAAGTAAGTCCTAGTTTGATTTTTACAAGTGTGCCCAATATAAGCCATCACCTCGAATAAGCCCTAATTAAGATCCCGCCCACTCCAGAATTCATGGGTAAAAATTAAGTTAGGGTGGGGATGGGGGTGGGTAGGTAAAGCTGCCCTACTACTTACTTTCAAACAGTTGTAACCGGGCCTGGCACACCCTGACGCCTGCCTTGCCGGCCCATTTCTTCTGTAGCCGGCAAGGCTTTCCTGAAGGCCTCTTTAGCTGACAACAAAGTTCCTGATCGATCCAGAGCTTTGTTATTGGCTGCAGAAGCCTTCAGGAAAGCCATGCCGGACGCAGTAGTAGTTCCTGAAAGCCTCTGACCGCAAAAAGGAGGCCAGAGGTGACGTGCGCAAGTGAGGTTAGTCAGTGGATGACATCCCCCGAAAATAAGACCTGGTGCCTTTTTTGGTGGAAAAATAATGACAGGGTCTTATTTTCAGGAAAACATGGTAATCGCCTCTATCTACTTACCTATCATCTCTATCATTTCTATCATCTACCTACCTACCTACCTATCATATCTATCTATATCATCTACCTACCAAATTATTCTTTCTTTCTTTCTTTCTTTCTTTCTTTCTTTCTTTCTTTCTTTCTTTCTTTCTTTTTCTTTCTTTCTTTCTTTCTTTCTTTCTTTCTCTTTCTATCTATCTATCTATCTATCTATCTATCTATCTATCTATCTATCT